TACTTGAATTTAATACATAAGATAGTTAATCAGGCACTGCGCTATAATTTCCTAAACAGGATCTTTGATCAAGCCCATATTAGTGACATGTCTTTGAAAGATACTGGGTCAAAAGTCCTTTAGTGAGAGGATCTGCTAGCATATGATTCGTGCTAATGTGTTCGATACAAATCTCGTTTTCCTCCACTCTTTCTCGAACGAACAAATATTTTGTATCGAGGAACAATCCCGCTCCACTCGAACTGTTATTGTTTGAGAAGCTCACGGCCGCGGAATTGTCACAATAAATCCTTAGTGGTCTTGAGACGGAATTTACTATTTTGAATCCTTTGATAAGATTCCTTAACAACATTCCACCCATGACATGTTGCGTTGTACACTGCAACATATTCAGTCATCATTGTTCAAGTAGTCGTTGTAAGTCTTTGCTTGTGGCTTTTCCAAGATATTGGCCCGCCTGACATCAAGAAAATGTATCTCGAAGTAGACTTCCTATCGTCTTTGCACTTAGCAAAGTCAGAATCGGAATATCCCACCACTTCTAAATTATTAGACCTCCTCCCTATGCCATACATTCTCAAACTTGAATCGTCGCTTGCGATTTACCTCACAAGTCGGAAATAAACGAAGGAACAAGGCTAGATGGTCACTCGGGACGCCCTCTAAAGATTCTGCCTCGGCTTCTCCAAACTGGTCCAACCAACTATCAGATGCAAGAATTTTGTCCAACTTTTCTTAAACCCAATTCGGGGTTCCACGCCAACATTCCCAGGTCAATTGGTAACCTTCAAAAGAAAAATCAAGGAGCCCGCTAGCCCAAACTGCCTCCTGGAAACCTTCTAGAAGTCACGGTGGATGAGGTACTCTTCCTGTCTTCTCTGAAGCATAGAGGAGATCATTAAAATCTCCATCACCACCCACGGAAGAGAAGATCTCAAACTGAGTGATCGCAACAACTCTCATGACTCCCTTCTTCTCTGACGCTTTGGACACCCGTAGAAACCAGTAAACCTCCAAACAGGATCATCCACCTCCAAACTTATCCATGCATCAATATAATCAGAAGAAGAGTCCTAAATGTGAACTTGGACACAATCCCCCCAAAGGAGAGCAAGACCCCCCTATGACCCACACTGTCAACGCCAAAACAGTTTTTCAAACTGATTTTTCTTCCCACTTCTAACACCTTTGACTCCTTTGTAAATGTATTCCTAAAAAAACTAAATTTGGCCTCTTCATGTGGACTAAATCCACCAGCACCTAAACTGCCAATGGGCTCTCAAGCCCCCGACAGTTCCAACTAATGCAACTCATAATTCTAGGCGGCCTGTGCTCCAGGACCAGCCTTTAATCCGTTTTTTGGCTGAATTTCCATATTCGTGCCCATATGCAGTATTTGACATTGTTGTTCCATCCCATGGGCTTTCCTTTTCTTTTGCAACCCTCTTGTACTCCAAGATCCATCCTCCTGTCAAACTGGCAAGTCCAACCCCTTGTCATTATGTTCTTGCCTCAACACCATTTGAGACCCGAGTTGCATCTCCAGCCATCCTTCGAATTGGTTCAGCGAAGGGATGGACATGTAAGGTGTGGAGCGGCAAAAACACTTCTTGAGAACAACACAACGAACTCGAACTGGAGTAGCGAGATTCAACAGATGGCGTACAACGGCGACAGACGACGATGGTGGAGGCGACTCAGATTTGTGAAAATCTAGATTTCCTTCTTTTTGAATTTTCAGACTAGTTTCTTGGCTAGATTTCTTGTAGTTGAGATGGATTTTTTTATATTTTGGGAGGAATCTCACTTAACTATGCTCAAATTTCTCAATGAAATCACCAAATGATGAATTACGGGGATCCAATCATATATTATTATGGAGAGATTGAGCTCAAAAGTGGAGAAAAAGATGAATAGTAGAAATGGGCATTATTAATGAATTAGGGTTTACAAGCTTCCAAGGGGAGTATACATAGGAAAATCCGGATCTGGTCTCTAATATGGGCATGACAGACCTGGTTACATAAGTGGACTGATAGTATAAAAAACTAATCTAGAACACCCGAATAATAATAATGCATAATAATGTAAAAGCTATCTACTGAGCGTAAGTGAGCTGCTGTCTGGACCTAATGGTCATGAGATCGGAGGTCTGATTCCACATACATTATCAGGTTTATTTTGAATATTTTAATGTTAAATGGTGTTTGATATTATAAATATGTGAAGTAAACATACCTGTGTTGCTTATTAACGCAAATCGAGACTGTTTAGTACGGAAATAATTTTGTCCTAAGTTTTAGCGTATATGGCCATATGGGCTAACATCGTTAGAAACGAGGAAAAGATCACCGTATTCAGGGCTGGTTTGCAACTGCTTAAAAAAGCACTTATCGACTTTTGGCTTAAAAAACACTTATTTACCAAACACTACCAATTTTTACTTTTCTCGGCTTTCGTGTGAAAAGTGATTTTCCCTTTTCTACTCCATCTGTCCCATTTAAAGGTTCTCATCCACTATTCTCCGGTTAACGTGCATTGTTCTTAATCTTTTACTTTATATATAAAAGGTTAATGAAATTTAAATTATTTTTTGCAGGTTTTGTAGTGGTTTTAATGTAGTTTCTGAATATGTAAATTTTATTTACTAAAAATAAATCTATTGATGACAGGAATCAGTTATTCAGTTCAATTAACTTTATGGTCAGTCAAACATCGTAAACCACGTGAGAATCTTAAAGTGGGACGGATGGAGTATTACACAAAAAACACTTATTTTACCAAACACTACCAACTTTTACTTTTCAAAATTACCTTTTTCTCAAACACTATCAACTTTTACTACTAATCACTTTTTCCAAATCACTCCAAAAGTGTTTTTTTAAGCACAAGGCTGCTTAAGGCTCTGTTTGCAAGTGATTGTGCTTAAATAAAAGCACTTTTTGGGAAAAAGTGATTAGTAGTAAAAGTTGATAGTGTTTGGTAAAATAATTGTTTTTTGTGTAATAGAAAAAATAAAAAGTAGATTCTACACGAAAACCGAGAAAGTAAAAATTGGTATTGTTTGGTAAAATAAATGCTTTTTTCTTAAAAAAAAAAAGGCAAACACACTTAAATTAATTGTTTGCAAAAAAGCCTAAATAGAAGGCAAGGCTGCTACAAAGCTGGTGTCTGGTGCAGTGGTGCCTACGAGAACGTCCCGTTAAGGCGCCTTCTCTTAAGCGCAACCCTAACATATAGCCCAACCCTCATCATCATCATTACCCCATGCCGCAAAGGCTCTCACCTACGTGGGGTAAGGGGGTCAGATCTACGCAGTCTTACCCCTGTACAAAAGCACAAACAGGCTACTTCGGGTGACCCAAAGTGAAAATCATGTCAAAATTTGCATGGATTGACCTCTGATTCATAACAAAGCACCGACAATTTAATGAGCTATTTTGCTTTATTCCATCATATTCCCAAACCAAAAATAGTGAGTCTTTGACTCCATAGCAAACAGGGATGGATTTAGGGGGGGGCGCGGGGGGGCGACCGCCCCCCTTGGACTTTGAAATATTTCTACCATATATATAATATTTTCATAAGACTTTCATAATTTAATTAGATTCGCCCCCCTTAGCTTTTAATTTTCAAAATTAATATATAGTCTTACATAATGTAATACTTAATTGGATATTTAAAAGAAAGAACATCTAATATAATTTACATAACTCGTTGTTTAAGATTTAGGATACTTATTATATAAGAATTCCTAGTTTTGTAATGTGTAATTATCTTTATTAGATAACAAGTACTCAATTTTGTAAAATATATATCAAACAATATTAAATACCAGACACACTAATTACACAGTTTTTAGATCACGTGAAATGAATCCAAAATATAAATATTTATTGACATTAAATTACATAATTCATTTACTTCTTGCTTTCTAAAAATAATTTATTGCATAGATAATAAAATTTAAATTATTATAGCATTAATACAAATATTAAAATATAATATGCACCATATAGTGTGTGTATGTGGTGCATATTATTCTAAAAATAATAATCTCATACATACTACTATTGTAATACTAAGAAAACTTCTCATGAGTCATGACTCACGAACACTCTCCTTGATGGACAAAAATTACAATTCAATAACCGATTCATAAGATTAAACAATATAGAAGTTATTAAAAATGTATTGGTTGATGTCTTTGTCATTGTCTAAATTTAGAATGTAATAGATTTATATGTCGTTGGGGGATATATATGTATTAATGTCATTTTTTTTAATAAAAATAGCCGTATAATCCTACAGTAGTGAAAAATTTTGCCCCGCTACACTAGGGGAAAAAATTTCGTCCCACTACACTAACGAAAAAAATTTTCACCCCCTACACTAACGAAAAATTTCGCCCCCCTTGACCCAAAATCCTGGATCCGTCCCTGATAGCAAATGATGGAAATACATATAGCCCAGCCCTAAAATACTAAAATAATACCAAGTTAGGTTTTTCTTTTTTGAAAAAACTCTGAAATAGGTCCTCTATTACCAAAAGGTCAATTAAATCCTTTGCTCTTTTAAGTCAATCAACCAAGTCTATGGGTGACGGTTAAAAATAGCCAATTTGGCTAGCATGGTACTTTTACCTCTTCAAGACTTCAAGAATTTCAAAAATTATTGATGATTTCTTTTCTCCTCTTCGATTGAATCGGTTGTTTAAAGTCCCTTCGTAACTTTCGGCGAAACTGCAAAGTCGGAGCGAGCGGAAGAAAGAGCCAAAGACTTGTTGACGAAGTTGTTGAAAGACATTTCAAAAACATTTCTTAATGAGCTTACTAGTATGTTAGTAAAATATGGATGCCCTATTAGGAAAGGGCCCCCGTTCCGTTGCACCTAATGCACATGGGTCGGGTCTGGCCTGAAAGTCAGTATTGTTTATTGTATGAAACTGAAACACTTCATTATAGCCTATAAGTAGACACCCATTTTCATCTAAAAGTTGTATCTTTGTCTTACACAATTTCATATTTCTATTTACTAATCATTCATTCATTATTTTATTATCATTTTGAGTTTCTTTTTGTTCTGAAATCATCATCATTTGATATCTTGGGTGTGTTGCTTGCCATCTTGAATGATTGTGCATGCGTCTTTCCAAAATTTGTGTTTGCTATAGTTGGCACCTCATTTTTAATGTTCGTCATCTTTAATTTAATTTTCAGATTAGCGTGATTCTATGTAATGATGTAACATGCAAAGCAGATGTTTTTACATATTATAATTTGCATTACAATATCGGAGTGATAAAGATGAGACTGATGTCTCAATCGCAACAGCTACACTAAAGCACGTAAATGATTCTATCAGCATTGATCCTAACATGCTGGATGAGAACTCAGCTGAGTATGATCCTCAGTCTCAAAAATTTAATTTAGTTCCAGGTGATACTATCATAGCACTTGGCCGCTATAATGGAGAACAAAATGGGCTTATGGTTATTGCTGGGGAGTTTAGGTATATTGATGTGAGATCTGCTATTTGTGTTGATGTTTGGATTTGAAGATTAGTTTTATGAGTCCTGATCTTTGCTTGTTCTTTTTGCTTTTAATCATCCTTGTACAGTATTAATTTAACAGGATTGGATTGCCCAGAGCTTTTTAGAGCTGAGTTTGAAATTGTCAGAGTAAGGGCATACTTCTCATATACTTCTCATTTTGGTCATGTTGTGCATTGTGAACTGGAATACAGATAACCTAAATAAATTGCTAATTCAGTTTTTTCCTCACTTGAAGCTTAGTTTTCCAATGGCCGTACTCTCATTTGCCTAATAATTATAGGATGGACTATGGAGCTGTTGACGGGCTCTTCTAAAATTAACACTTGTAGTTCGCCTATATTATAATGTTGGATAGACTCGTTACCTTTAAAAAGCCATTTTTTTATATGCTAGCTGAAATGTTTATCCACACTGCCCTAGCACAAGATACTCTCACATAAACTAATTAAGAATCCAATCAGTTTCTCAGTATTTAATTTATTGATCTTATTTTTTGAACAATAGATGACATATATAACCCCTATTACCCATCCACCTCATGATTGCATATAAGTGTATCATTTAATTTTTATTCTAGATTTAACCAGGTCATGATTTCTTTTGAAGTTTTTTTCACTTCATGTGTTACTTCCTTCGTTCTTTTTTAGTTGCAATAGTCCACTTTGTACATTTGCCAATGCACACCTTGATTGTCAATATATCTTATTCTCTATTATTATAAAAAAAGTTAAAAAAAACAGATTTTGAAAATTTGTAATGAGATGAATTGAGAAATGTTAAAAAAAATCTCATAAATTAATAAATAAAATGCACTCAAAGTAGAACACGTTGAATAGTGTAAAATTCAACATGTTCCAACTAAAAAACGGAGGATAGTATTTGTTTGCATCATTAACAATTTATTTATGTATATTTTGGTGATAGCATGGAATTGGGGGACCAATCATCAATCGCTATGGAGAAGTGATAGGAATTACCTTTTATTGTGCTTCACTCACGCCTTTTCTGCCAATCAACCTAATCTCATTGTGGTGGGAGCAGTTTAAGAACAAAGGGTATGCTTAAAACTATAATATATATACTATTTTGCTTTTATAAGATTGCGAATAAGACATGTGATTTGGGAAATTCATTACTTTATGTTAACTTTGTTTTATTAAATATTACTCGTAATAAATAATAATGTAATTAGAGGATTTAGTATTGAATTGCAAATAAATGGTATGCTTTTATAGTTTTATTAGATTGTGAACAGATATGATATCTATTCTTATCTATTCTTGTGACTTGTGACTGGTATTGAAGCCATTATTAGGTAGTTGTATGAAAAGCAATGTTTTTGCTAGATTTTAGATGTTGAAAAAAATTAACACGCAAGTGCCTAAGAAGTTTGCATAATGCACATCTAGGTGTGCCTTTTGCAAACAATTGAAACAAGCATAATTTTAAACAAAATGAGCACCGTCATGTGCAATTTAGCATTTCTAGAAACAGGAAAAAAATCAAAACAATGAAGAGCACAAATTCGAGCAAACAATATGAAATAAAAATATGAACTGCCTATCCTTCAAAGGAAATAAAAATCTTGGTGTACACATTTTTGTACACGTTACGTGTAATTTCCAAAAGTTCTGCATTTTTCTAAAACAAATTGCTTGTGCACACAATCAAAATGTAGGGGCTGTGTAGAGAAAATGTGTACAAACGGAATATTCCCAAAGGAAAATGTGTACAACAACAACATTCAAGCCTTAGTTCCATAGGAAAATGTGTAACTACAAAATTATAAAAATGCAGGCAGATGTACGCTGATGTACTGTATCATTTGGGGCTTCATGCTGCCTATTGGCAGATGGGGACCAGTAGAGCACACAAGTGGCTAAACAGTTACCTATGCATGCACTTAGCTGCCGTAGGCCCATAGTAAGAGTGTCTTGCTTAATTTTGAACACTTGAATGTATGTTAACATTTGGTGTAGGCATTGTCTTCTACCTCGTCTTGGAATGGAGTTGAGCAATCTTTATTTATGGGATATAGCTTTTCTGGAGTCGGTGATAAAAAGGTTTCCAAATGTCTTTCAAGGTGTTGTCGTGGAAGAGGTTTGTTTTTTCCTCATGGGAACTGATATTCAATATTTATTCTGTTTTTCAGTTTTAGACTTTTTAGTTAGCGGTGTTCTTTGTGTGTCTTCATTTTTACCATGCATAAACTTAATCAGATAGAGTCCAATGGTTCTTCTACTGCGTTGTCGGAAAATGATGTCTTTATTGAATGTGATGGAAAACCTGTACAAAATGTTTTGGAGGTATGAATTACACTAAAAGTATGCCATTCACATTTCTATTCAACTGCTAGCAAACAGTCAATTTAATTTTTTCTTGGTTTTCCAATTGCGATCAGTTTTTTTGAGTTGATATGGGACAAGGTTGGTTACCCTGTTGATCTGACTGTGCTACGGCCAAGTGATGGGACTCATTTGAATGTAACAATGGTTGTTGGTAATGTTGGCCCGAATGAAACTAATCGGTAAACCTCTTGTGATTAGTTTCTTCACTTCAGAATTAATCGACAGGCATATGATGTTTTCAAATGCAGTAGAAGTATGCATGTTTAGTGTTTTATTCATCTTCCTTATTTGTTTTCAGATGGCCGTTGCCCAAATGGAACCTTGGAAGATATAGAAAACTCTGTAATTGATATTGATTGCAGGCACCATTATTCCTCAACCACAAATGTATATTTTTTGAGAGTAAAATCGCTGATTCAGTTAAATAGTTAATTACCTGTCCTTATGCGTGTGATCTAGCTCTATCTCTTTGTCGCCCTTCCGAGTATGTGTGTAATTCACTTGTACAACTAATTATGAGTTGATTGTTCTACATGTGAGGTCTAAATATTCTACTTTCCTTAAACTCGTGCCAAAACTGTATTATATCTCATTTTGATGAAATAATCAATTCAACCATTTGATCGATTTGTAAGCTTTTACAACAGGGTTATTTTCCAAAGTAACCTAATATAGGTAAAAAAAATCGTTAAAACAGCTGGATCAATTGTTTTATAGAAGGCGATTAAGCATTGCGTCTTTAAATAAGCGGTTGCTTATTTCCTTCAGGAGACCCCAGAAGGAAATAAGGCAGTCCAGGCACTCAAGAATTTCTATGCCCATTGCGTCCCTGAAGATTGCATCTTAACTACCAATTTATGGTCTGCTGAGCTATCAAAACTGGCTGCCAATGCATTCCTGGCACAAAGAATATCTCCACTGATGCTTGATGTCCGTGTCGCTGCTTCTGTTGTCGCGCTGCCTCCCCGCCTTCCAAACTGCAAGCGCAACTCCTCTATTCTTAATATTTAGATCTGGAGCCGTTGCCCTGTGGAGCACCCGCCGATATTCGACATTTTGTCCATATTTAAATATGGTCCTATGTTTGTCACTCAAAACTCAAGAGTAATATTTCTGTCATTATTTCCAATTCCAATACTCTGTAATGGTAATAAAAATAATAATTATAATCAATCACACAAGTAAACTCTATTGCCGTTTTTATTTGACATAAGTACACATTACGTATCATCGTAATAAAATGTTGCATATAATTTTAAATAATTTTTTATTCTATTCTAGATACAAGGGCGTAGTTAGGGGGAGGCCAACCCTGCTCCCGACCACTCCAAATGTTAAAAATGACTATATTTTTAATGTAAAAAGTCCGTACATATTTTTTTCCAAAAATATTATTTGTACGGGTCCAGTCTGGCCCAGTATCCTGGCCCCACCCTTGTTTAGATACACTATTCTAGATATAGCCTGTGCATCGCACGGATACTACGTCTAGTCTGCTTATATAATAAAAGTCAACATATATTTGTTTGTGTTATGAAATGAAAGAAAATAAGCAGAAAAATCAAGCATTCAAACTCATCTGGTTGTGAGATTACCATGCCTAGCGAGAGGTCTCGAGTTCGAAACCCGCTAGGTACATAAGAGTTTGAAACTCAATGGATTGAGTTTCAACCCTGATTACTCCAGGCCCCCCATCCCCCCCAGACCCCCAGAGTAAAAAAGGAAAAAAAGAAAAGGAAATAAGCAGAAAATTAGAGAGAGATTATATTAAGTATAAAGGTGTTCTTGAGAGTGTATTAAAAGAGTTCTAATGTTGTGTTAATTACAATGATAATGTCTCCTATTTATAGAAGAAAGTGTGAGCTCAATGAGATTAGGAGATCATTGTGAGCCACACATTTATCACCTTGAATTCATAATTATGATTTTCTAATTATTTATATAATGACGATAATAATTCCTAATTAGGAATACTTAGACGATCAATAAATCAATTATATTTCAAAAGTTTGATTTTTTTTTCCATCCATTTTCTACCATTTTGTGCCGACGGAATCACGGAAAGACTTGAATTTAAGGGATTTGTTTAACGAGGTAACCCTTCTTGGTGTACACGCATTTGTACTCACTTTTGTACATTGCCTGTGTACACAGGCAATTGAGAGATAACTGCTGCCATCTTCTTAGTTCTTAATGAGCTGCCTATGTATACAGGCAAAATAAGGGGTGTGTACATACAAAAATGGGTACAAGCCTCTTAAATCGCTTATAGCATCCATAATGGGATACTGTCTAGTCTATTTAAATGACGCCACATAAGAAAATTAGACGTTGTGTATTTAGTTTCCTCTCCAATGCAGATAGTCTCAAAAGCGGTTTCGCTGAGTTGGCAAGAAAAAAACTAAACACTGTCTAGATGAAAGTCTGTGTGTGGAACAACCATGCTTGATGTACACACTCTTATACCCACCATGTTTGTGGAGGTTTTTTTTTGTTTGTGAACCTGGTTCATAGAAAATATTTTGTTTGTGCAAAATATTGTCTGTGAGCCGGGGTTCACAGACAAGCAAAAAACACTTCACAAACATAGGTGGGTACAAGGTGGGTATAAGAGTGGATACAAAGATCATTTTTGTGGGTGGAAAACCAACATAACTTGCTGACTCACAAAAAAATCGTTCGGTTCTTTGGAAATTAGGAGAGGAAAAATCTCCTGGCTTCCATTCCATTTTGCACCACTGAATTACTGGCTAGTTACTCCGTATTTTGAAGAGTAGTATCTATATAATATAATAAAGCAAACCCCTAAAGAACACCTTAGAGGAATTGTTGACATGTGGCAACATCTTTGTAGAAAAAATGACATGTGGCAACACCATAAATGAAACACTATCCAACTTCCAAAACTTCACTCTAATGTATTCTAATAATATATTATGTTATATATTAATTTCTATAATGTCTCCTCTATTGTCGTGTGTTGTTTTAATTAAAATACTTGGTAAGTTTAATTAAAAATATTATTAAATCATTGTTATATTAAATTTGATAACTATTAAATGGTATCTAGCAAAATCACTTATTGTACAAAAATAAAAATACAATTAGATCTTTTGAGTCAATATTTGTAAACAATGATTATTAATAGTTCAAAAAAGGTTGTAAAATAATAAGTATTTTAGAATATAATTTTGGTAGTGTTGGTACACGGGTCTAATTTCTGCTTGAGATCCGTCGGTCGATAATATTCTTATACTTGGTGTTTTTTCAGATGGTGCTGGTTGTATGTGGGAGAGCTCCACAAAGCAGTCGGCAGGAAGGCTAGAATTGATGGGAAGCGCATTTAGTGCACTAGATGTGGAGGATTTTATGGTTGGGAATTATCCGCCGAGGGCTCGACACATCATCATGTACACCTATTACATTGTCGTACACTCCCATTTATTTCATTATAAAGAGTTGGCAAACTTACATACTATAGTTTAGACTTCTCTCTAGCTCTTCTGTAAGATCCCATGAAAGTCCAAAGGACTATGTTGGACTTTCGGACCGCGAGAACTTAACCTCAACCGGTGGTAAAAAAATCAATATTGAAGACAATGAAATTCAAAAATATATATTTGTATTTTGGACAACTCACAACATGCATGGTTTCAACCCACTATAGATACATCTTTCAAAATCAGTCAAAATCCACAGGGCTAGCCCGTTTCATACAAACTTAATGTGACAGATGAAAATGTAAAATGATAATCAATTTCATTTCAAACCTACAATACAACAGTCAACTAACACTTTTTTAACTATTATTTTATCTAATAATATTTGAGTATGTATTCATTTTTGTATTTTCTATTTAAAGTATAACGTATATCACCATAACACATGCAACTGAAATATTTGGCATGAGATTGAGGTGTTTATCCATTTTGTGTATTTTCCCTTTCATTTTCTTTAAATTTTACTTTCACCTTTTTTTTTTTGGAAAAACTTAATTAAGACTAACACCGTGTGACGCACGGGTGCACATACTGGTTCTACATATAGTAGCAGCGGTGAATCCGATTTAATTAAAAATGAAAGAGTATGTGATAATTATGGTTTAGATGATTCCTTGTGATTTAGAACCCGTTTGGCAGCACAAAAATCAGTTATTTTTGGTTGATTTTGCTGAAATTTATGAAGTTCGAGGTGAAATGTCTGAATTGGCTGATTCTGCTGATTTAAGAATAAAATATTTTTAAAATATACTCTGCATTTTATAAATAAAATGAAGAAAAAATTATATGTAAATAGCTAAAATGGTCATCTACCATAACTTCATCCAATACAGTCAGAAAAGTAACCCCAACCTTACTTTTTCTGCTTATTACACTATTCAGCACACGAAAGTAAAAATTACGTGTTTTGTGAAAAATTGGCTGATAAGTCTGATAATCCGAAAAACAATATTGTCAAACGGTCTCTTAGAATTTAACAAAAAGTTACTCTCATTTATTTTTTGCAAGGTTTGATATACTTTTCTCTTCATCAATATCCCAAGAAGAATCAAGAGATGTGTAAAATTTTGTCAAAAAATATATATATGTAAAATCAATTATGGTTTATTTTACAGAATTAGATATGGATGATGGAAGAACCGAATCACCGATAGATCAAAATTTTAGTGCATCAGTTACGATGATATTAATTACACACAGACAGTTAACTTATTTTTTGCATTGGAGGCTTTCTTTGTATGGCAGCGCACAGTCACTACCCTATGTATGATGTCAATTTGAAAGCCATTTAATTATGGGAAATTCTATGGCGCACCTCTAAATTTTGCATGTATGGTACACTTTCTTATGTAGGCAAATAAAACAATGTCACATGGACATTGAATCCATATATATTTTAATTATTTTCCATGTGGTACAATATTATTGCCCCCCTATGGTACAATCAAATTAAGGGGTGCACCATAGAACTCCCCATTAATTATTAATTATTTGACATTTGTCATAAATTATTTAGACTAGACATTGGTCCATTGCGGATGCTCTTAGGGTCTGTTTGTGACAGCTTCTGCATTTAAAAAAGTGTTTTTTTTAATGAAATGGGGAGAAGCGATTAAATAAAAGTTGATAGTGTTTGAGAAAAAAGTGATTTTGAAAAGTAAAAGTGGGTAGTGTTTGGTAAAATAAGTGCTTTTTGTGTAATAGAAAAAGTAAAAGCACTTTTGACGCGTAAGCCGAGAAAAATAAAAGTTGTAGTGTTTGGGAAAATAAGTGTTTTTTTAAAGCCAAAAGCTGAGAAGTGCTTTTTTAAAAGCAGTTGCAAACCAACCCTTAGGGAGTATATGGCAATGCTTCAAATCCTCAAAAGCCGCCATGGAAGGCTACAATGTATCTATCCGCCCACTTAAAGTCCAGATTCTTCCTTCTCATTTCATCTTTGTCTCCGCCGACGACAACGAAGGCGAACAAGGTATTTCATGTAACTTACGCTTAAAAGTTAAAACTTCATCCGCTACTTCTCATGGTCTGCATTTAGTACATTTAAACAATTTCGTTGTCTTTGAATATTAAAATTTCGAAACCGGTAACTGTTACTTCTCCACCATCAATACATTTAAGTAGGCTTCAACCAAGAATTCTGCTTATTCTTGCAACTTTTACACACACAATTGCCATCCAGTTTAGGAAAACAGATCTGCTTGTTGTTGTATTTCTGAATCACTCATTACATACTTACATATGAAGCGGTAAATGTAAATCATTCCAAATATGCACACAAACAATGCCCTCAAGCAACGCCTACATACTTACATAGTGTTCGCTAAAATGCCTCTTGCAAAACGTCTATTTTTGTAGTTCTCATATACCCCACCTAACTGTAATTCTTGTTAAATGTCCCACACCGAAATATTTGGATGAACAAAATGCTATATTAACACATGAGGTACTCCTCCTATCAGGTTGCATTGACCTTTTAGGATGGAAGCCCGTGTCTTAATATGGTATCAGAGCCAAATCGATCCATGATGTGGGCCCCTAATGAAAAATGATGACACGATTATAAAAACAGTCGGATGAAAAAAACGGACCGATAAAAAAAAATGATTGATTGCACGATCCACACGAAGTGTCTGGTCGTGAGGAGGGGTGTTAAATGTCCTACACCGAAACATTTGGATGAACAAAATGCTATATTAACACATGGGGTACTCCTCCTATCAGGTTGACCTTTTAGGATGGAACCCCGC